GCTATACTTTGTAACAGTCAATTCCTGCTGATTTAGGTTATTGGCTACTTCGGCTTCTAATGTCTGTACTTTTCATTTCTCTCTGAAAATGAGTCCTACACAGCTTTGCCCCTCAAATAGCCCGAAAGGAGCCAGCCAGCCCCCTTGTGGTGGTGCTAACGTAGCCTTCAAGCCTGGGTTTCTGCTGTCCTTTGCCTGAAAGCTGGACTACAAGCTTCTCCAGACTGTTCTGGGGAATGTGGGGTGAGGCCTCTTGTGAGATGCCCCATCCAAGCTGGGTGGTTCCAGAGCATAGGTTTCTGGGTCCATGATGGAGCATGGGGGCCTTCGCTGCTTTGTGTCTAGAATAGAAGGAAGGAATGGGCTTAATGAGCAGTGCTACGTTTTAACTTTGATCTGTCTTTCCAGATGCTCCTGTGTCCTGCTCCATTGCAAATAGTAAGACCAGCAATACCCTAGAGAAGGATTTAGATCTTTTGGCCTCTGTTCCATCTCCCTCATCTTCAGTTTCCAGAAAGGTGAGTCTTGTGGGTGCCTCAGGATTAAAGAGCATTCCGGAAACGGTGATTTTGATAACTTAATCATGGAACCAAGTCATGCTTCCTTGGTGGAATTGGACTTTGGTTTTCTTGGTTCTTCCCTTAACGCTATCATCTCTGTTACAGCCTAAGGTTACTGTTCATTCCATGTTGTCTCCTGCCCAAAAAGAGTGGGCCCTTTGAGTGGACTTCTGTTGAAGGTGTGTCAGATTGTAAAGGCTGATCCTGTAGGTCAGCTTCTCAGCCTGAGTTATTGCCAGAGAGTTTGTAAGTAGGAAAGACTTGAAACCTTTAATGGCTACCGTTTGTGGAACACCTGCTGTGTACAACAGGCACAGTGCTAGGTGATTTTGTATCTCATTTTGTATATTTCATTTATGATTTAAAATACTCACCACAGGGCTTCCCTGGTGGCGCAGTGGTTGAGAGTCTGCCTGCCGATGCAGGGGACACGGGTTCGTGCCCCGGTCCGGGAAGATCCCACATGCCACGGAGCGGCTGGGCCCGTGAGCCATGGCCGCAGAGCCTGCGCGTCCGGAGCCTGTGCTCCGCAACCGGAGAGGCCGCAACAGTGAGAGGCCCACATACCGCAAAAAAAAAAAAAAAAAAGAAAGAAAGACTAAAATACTCACCACAACCCTGCAAAATGAATCTTTTATAGATGAGGAAATGTTAGTTCAGAAAAGTTAATGTGACTAGCTTCTCGTTGCACAACTACTAAGTGGTGGCACTGGGATCTTAATTCAGTTCTCTCTGGATGCATCGGTTGTAGGTCATTTTTATTTGTTTATGTGTTAGTTTTCCACCAAATCACATTGTTTTGCTAAAGAACAAAGAATTGTACCAGAGCTTAACTATCAGGTGTTTCCAGATATTTATATGGTAAAAGTGTCAGGAAGCTATTAACTCAAGCCACGAATTCTTTTGCAAATGTTAGAAGCGGCAGAGAGATGCGGGAGGTCCTTACAGAGACCCCCATGAGGTCCATTCCAATCCCCACCCCCCTCCCTCTTTGCCCTAAGGTTGTAGGTTCCATGCCAACTGCGGGGAGTGCCGGCTCTGTTCCCGAAAACCTAAACCTGTTTCCAGAGCCAGGGAGCAAATCAGAAGAAACAGGCAAGAAGCAGCTCTCTAAAGACTCCATCCTTTCACTGTATGGATCCCAGACGCCTCAGATGCCTGCCCAAGGTAGAGTTCATGGGAGTCATGGCAATGTGCCGGACAGAGACGTGAGGCCTTACATGCAGGAATCATTTGCTGTGACAGGGGCAGTTGCTCTGGGGGCCAGGACATCACACTCCAAACAAACCTGAACATGACGTTCTTTGTGAAGCTACCAAGTATCAGGAGATAGAGATTAACATAACTCAGAACCATACTTCTGTGGGGTCTGGCATCACAGCTCTGTGAAGTCTGACTCAGGATCTGGATCTGGACCCTAAAGGGGAAGTGGCTGGGTCAGCAGCCTGCTGGAAGCCATAGCAAGTCTTGTAGGGGCTCTGTCTAACCGTTTTGCTGTGTAAAAGAGCATTCTGAGTTGAGTAATCCTGAGGAATTCTAGCTGGAAAGGAGCAGCCAGTGAGAGTTTGGACTCACCTTGTACGCATTCCTCTTTAACAGATCTGTATGTATGTTTTCTTGGCAGCAATGTTCATGGCTCCTGCTCAGATGGCATATCCCACAGCCTACCCCAGCTTCCCTGGGGTTACACCTCCTAACAGCCTAATGGGGAGCATGATGCCCCCACCAGTTGGCATGGTAGCTCAACCAGGAGCTTCTGGTATGGTTGCCCCCATGGCCATGCCTGCAGGCTATATGGGTGGCATGCAGGCATCCATGATGGGTGTGCCAAACGGAATGATGACCACCCAGCAGGCCGGCTACATGGCAGGCATGGCAGCTATGCCCCAGACTATGTATGGGGTTCAGCCAGCTCAGCAGCTGCAGTGGAACCTTACTCAGGTAAGCTGCTCCATTTCACTCAGGACAAGAGTTTTGAGCCTCCCTCAAGTCTGTCTCACTTAGTGTCTCTCCCTTACCCTTTGAATCCTTACAGTGTAGATGAGCTATTGCCAGAGGCATTCTCAGGTTTGCTTCATTTATTTATTTTTTTAACAGAAGATCTGTCTAACCTCAGACTTTCTAAGGCATTTTGGGTTCCTGTAGAATAAGGGTAACTGCCTAATTCTAAAACTCTCCACACTACCACATCTAATAGAATACTACAAACCTCAAATTACATGACAGTAGGCACATAAACACCGAAATCCAGCGGAGCCAGCATCACAGAGAGACCATGTGAAAAGAGGAGAGGGAGCAGGGGGCTAGAGGTGACAGAGCATAGATAAAATCACCCCCTAGAAAGAGAAGGCCCTGTCCTGATTAGAGACATGCTGAGAAGAGGTCTGAGTCGTGGTGGAGTAGAACTCTGGTTACTTGGAGAATAAAAAACAAGGGACTTGAGGGCTTCCCTGGTGGCGCAGTGGTTGGGGGTCCGCCTCCCGATGCAGGGGACACTGGTTCATGCCCCGGTCTGGGAATGTCCCACATGCCGCGGAGCGGCCGGGCCCGTGACCCATGGCCGCTGGGCCTGCGTGTCTGCTCCGCAGCGGGAGAGGCCGCAGCTGTGAGAGGCCCGCGTGCCGAGAGAAAGAAAAACAAAAAACAAAAAAAAAAACAAGGGACTTGAAATATATAGGTTTATGGGTGGTAGCTTTGGAAAAGCATTGTGTCTAGGAGAGATGGGGATGACCTAGAAGGAGGGGGTGCTCTTTGGAGACCTGGTGGTGAAGGGGAAGTAAGAAATGAGAAGTGGAAAAGAGAATCACAAAATCAGAAGATCCACCATTCTCCTTCCCACCAAATAATCATTTCACTATACTAACAGAAGAGGGCGCTCTTGTACTAACAAATCTAGTAGTCTCCCCAGACCCTCTCACCTGTCTGTATTATTGCTGATTCGGAAAAACAGAGCTCTACAAACTTTACAGAGTGGCAGATGACATTCGTACAAAACTACTATGAGAAGAAAATAGAAAATGAAAAATCAAAACATTTCAGGAAGTGGAAATTCTCCCCCCAAAGCAGTCATGAAGTAGAAGAAAACTGTTACACAATCCACCAATCTGAATTAAATGTCCTATAACAAACACTTGCAGATAAGACAAAACAGCCTGAATCAGAAATTTTAATTTTTACAAGCAAAATGGACAAAAAACTGGAAGTTGTGAAGTGAAAGTTTACTGAACTCAGGAAACAAATTGAAAAATGACACAATTATCTTAGAAATAGACTGAATTACAAGTTAGTCAAAGGAGAATAGATTCAACTGAAAATATATTTGGCATTGAGGAAAGGCATGAAACAGCTCAGAGAAGAGAACTAAATATAGAGAGCTGTAATAAGAATCAGAGAGAAAGTAATGCAGAAGTTAGGCAAAGAAGACCTAACATAAATATATTTGGAGACTCCCAAAGAAAAAGACAAAATAGTGGAACAGAATTAATATATTTAAAACTATAATACAAAACCATTTCTTAGAAATAAAAGACTTGAATATAATATTGAAAGAACCCACTGTGTATCTGGAAAAATTGACTCAGAATGGTCAACTCTAACATATCCCAGTAAACTTTTAGACTCTGTAGACAAGAAAAAAAATCCATGAGTCCATAGTGATATTTTTTAAAAGTGGGTGTGGGATAGAAGGAGGGAAAGCCTTCTTTGCTGAAGAATGACAACTAATAATTGTAGAAAGAACAGGGTATTCACACATTCTTAAAGAAATACCCTTCAGATTACTTATTAAGTACAGTGAAAGAACATATGATGGATACAACCTTAGATAAGTGATCAAACATAGAATTATCAACAGTGGGGCACATTAATTTCATGTGCTTCCTGGTATCTTATACTAAGAAGGACACATTATCACTTACATAGAAGTTTTGCCCAAAATATTTAACTTGGATCCAATCATAAGAAAACATGAGATAAATCTGAATTGAAGTATTTTCTGCAAAATAACCTACCTGGACTCTTAAAACAGTGTCAGGAAAAAATGGCGGGGGAACTCTTCTAGATTAAAGGAGACTAAAGAGATGTAAAATTGAAACGTAATGTATATTAGAATATAGTGTTAATATTAAACGTCTTGGACATATTAGTTGTAATGTGGTTCTAGGAAAGTCTTCTTTCTTATGAGATGACTCCTGACTTATTAAGGGGTGAAATATCACGATATGTGCAATTTTCAGCGCCCATCAAAGATTTTTAAAAGCTGACACGTGTATATATCAGAGAGAGAATAAGGCAAAAATGTTAACAATTGGTGAATTTAAGGAGCGATATATGGGTTTCATTGTACTATTCTTTCAACGTTTCTGTAAATTTGAAATTTTCTTTAAAAGCTGGAGGAAGAAAAATAGTTATACCTTTTCCTAAAGGAAAAGAACTTAAACAGAAAATGGACCAGACTTGGGAAATTTAAGGCATTTTTCTTTGAGAAATAGCTTCTTCTGTTCACTGCCAGAGGCCAGGCTTCCAGTTGAATTCATAAAGAGGCCCCACCCCCACCCAGGCCTGATGCCACCGACTCTTTTCTCCCAGCAATTTCCCTTCTCATACACTGAAGTCCTGAAGACATGTTGGTCTTTTTTCTTTTTCTTTTTTTTTGCCTTCCTTTGTTCATTCTGAATCGTCCAGTTTCCTTTTCTTCTTCTTCTCTCTGCTGGAGCACTTTCCCTGACACTGTCAGTAATGACTCTGCTGGAGATAAGACAGGAGCGCCAGCGTGGAGACTTCTCTTTATACTCTCAGGGTTGCCCACGGCCAGTTCACAACAGGCCCCTTCTTTTCAGGATGAGAGATTGGAAAAGAAACAGAGACTAACCTCCCATGCCGCTTTTATGTTGACTTGCTCCAGGATTCCCCCTTCCCTTACCGAGCACTAGTCTCAGACAACATCTCCCTTCTGGAAAGTCCTTCATCTTCGTGGTCTGATATCCTCGGAATGATCCGAGAGGGTTCAGGGCAGTTACGTACCACGACAGAGCTCCCCTTTGTCTCACTCTCCCCTCCCCGCAGGCGGAAGGACTCCTTCCCTGCCTGTTGCTCTAATTGGCCGCAGGTCCACAGCCCGGTCTGAGAGTCTCCTCTCTCCCTTTCAGATGACCCAGCAGATGGCTGGGATGAACTTCTGTGGCGCCAACGGCATGCTGAGCTATGGACAGTCCATGAACGGCGGGAATGGACAGGCAGCAAATCAGACTCTCAGCCCTCAGATGTGGAAATAAACACAAAGCACCTGGATGACTACCACTCTCCTCAGCTGCCTCTCTCCCCATGTTTCCTCTTTCCCCAGCTGCTCCCCTACCCCCATCCCCTTTCCTACCTCTGTCTGGTTGGTTTAGAAACTGCTCAATCTGTCACCTGGGACTTGGCATTCTGCCCAGCCCAGCCACGTCCCAAACATGCGGACCTCTCTGTTGTTTTCTGTCGTGCCTGTCCCCTAGCTCTCCTGACTCCCTCCCCAGGCTCAGCCCTGGTCCTCTCCTGGCACCAGCACCTTAGCAACTGTTGGCAGAAGGCACTTAGACTGCAGGATCAATGTGCACACCTTTGAGCACCTTTCCCACCAGGTGAAACCTCCTATCGGACTCAGAAAGGTCTGATAAGCTATTTCCATATGTTTAAATTTGGGGTGAAAACAGAGGCATCATGCTCCCCTGACTTATGGGAATGAAGAAAGTAATGAAATCAAATTAATTATTCCTTGGGTCTTAGAGCAGTTTGGCCCTAGCCCTGGCATGAGGCAAATGCCCTCCTACGAGGACGAGCAAAAATATGACTCTACTTTGCACTGAATTGCTTTCTGAATCGCTTTCTGAATCAGGCTTCAGGACTTGCTGCTTCGGCCAGCCTTTATTAGCACCAAAGACTCTACAAAGGTTCCCCACAAAAACACACACCCGTTTCCCTGCCTCCCTCCTGCCTTCAGTAGGATCTGACTTTGTGGCTGGAGGACCAACCCCTCCCGTGGGAATGCAGAGCTTGTGTGCTGTGTGTGTGTGTGTGTGTGTGTGTGTGTGTGTGTGTGTGTGTGTGTGTGTGTATTCCACCTCCCACTCCCTCCCCATCTGCTCTGGGTATTTTTGGTTTTGTTTTTTTAGTTTTAGGTTTGCAACAGAGAGGAGTTAATTTATCAACAGCCTAAAACTGTTGCCAGTTTTTCTTTAGTTAAGAAAAGGTACAATCTCATTGGTAGCTCCCTTCCTCCTTTCCCCTCTCCGCCCTGCCAGTCGCTCTCTCCTGCCGGTGTGTCCAGGCTGCTCTGTGTCCCCACCTGTCCAGGTGTATGAGGCAGAGGGCCTGGGCAGCTTTCCTCTTAGTCATCGTTCACCCCACTTGAAAATTAAAACAGGAAAACTTTGCTTAAAAGATTTCATCTTTGGGAACCACAACTCCTGGTTGCCTTTCTCCTGAGTATGTGTAAATTCCTTAATAAATATTGCAGGGAAGGACCACTCGCTTGCTCTCACTGTGTCACTCTTGGAGGAGGGTGAGTTCCACGCAGGTTTTCTGCTTTGCAGGGGCAGTTCCCTTACTTTCCGTATTTTTAAAAACTATTACATTTAGGATGGATAAACAACAAGGCCCTACTGCACAGGGAACTATATCCAATCTCCTGGGATAAACCATAATGGAAAAGAATATAAAAAAAGAATGTATATATGTATATAACTGAGTCACTTTGCTATACAGCAGAGATTAGCACAACATTGTAAGTCAACTGTGTTTCCATTAAAAAACAAAAAACTTTGTACAGAACATACCCAGGGGCCAGGCCCAGGCCCAGGCAGTCAGAAAGGGGGCCTTTCTCCAGGGGTGTCTAGAGTTGTGAGGGAGGGAACTCTGGATTTCTGTACCTGCTGGAGTCCCAGCAGTCCCAGAAGCACTCCCCCCGCCAACCCCCCGCCAATAAAAAGCTGAGCCCACACCCATCCTTCCTTGGAGTACACCTTTTGAATACTTCCAGGTGTTAAGTGAGAGGATAGCACAGTGGCTAAGAAAGTCAGCTCTGGATCAGACTGCCAGTATTCATATCCCTTCTTACTCTGTGACCTGAGCAAGCTACTCAGCCCCTGGGTCTTAGTGTAAAATGGGACTCATGGTAATACTTAAAGTAAAATGAAGCAATTCCTGTGGTGCATTTAGCACACAGGGCACTTTGCACTCAAATGTTAGCAAATATTATGTGCCATTATGTGTTAGGTATTAATTCATTCAACAAATATTTAACAAGTGCTTACAATGTGCCAAGCACTGTTTTAGGCTCTGGAGTGAAGCAATGAATCAAAACTCCCTGATCTCATGGGGTAGTGTGGTAGGAGAGATGGACAATAAACAAGTAAATAAATTATTTAATTTCAGGTAGTAATAATACAAGGTAAGACAAGTTTAGAGGAGAGGGTGGGTGTGGGACCATTTGGATGGAACAGTCAGAAGGAGGTTACCTTGGAACTGAGACCTGAATAAGGAGCCAGTTGTGTGGAGATCTGGAAAAAAAATGAGAGCAAAGGTAGGCGTCTGCGTTGGAAATCGTTCGGTGGAGGTACTGGTTTGGGAGTCATCAGGATGGTATGTAAAGCCATGAGGCCTTGGGGCCCATCAGCTGTTAGAATTTGGGAAGAAGAGATAAGAAAAAAATGAATCTGACGTAGTCCCTGCTCTCAAGAAGCTTACAGAATCATGGGGCAACAGACTTAGAATCTCTTTTACATGTTTTATGGGAGCTATAGGAAGGTCAGGGAAGCCTTCCTAAGGTCAGAGGCATTTGAGCTGAGTCCTGGGGGCCAGGGAGGAGTTAACCAGTGGGTGAGGTGGGGGTGACGAGAAGAGTCGTCCAGACAGTACATGTGAAGGAAGAGACAGAAACCTGCAAGAGCACAGAACATTCCAGGAAGCACAAGCAGTTCTGTTTCTAAGATCGGATGTGAGTCAAGGGGTGGTGAGAGGTGAGACTCAGGTGGGTTTGGGCCAGATCACGGGGGGCTTCCTTCACCCTAGGAAGGAGTTTAGCCTGAAGCATTGTAAACAGTGGAGTGACATGGTCAGATCTGAGTTTCAGGCGGCTCACTCTTAGATTGCTGACAACAGTGTGTTTGAGAGAACAAGACCAGGACTAGGGGACCAGAGAAGGGCAAGAGCTGAATGAGGGCCATGGTAGTGGAGGTGGGGAGACTGGAGCCGCTTGGAGGAGCATTTCACTAACAGCTTATGAGGCACATGGGGTGCTAAAAGGAGTAGCACAAAAACGCTAAAATAAGTTTGGAAAAGACTGCATGTTGTATCACTTCTTGTACTGATAGATCTAGAATATAATATCCAAAAAAAAGGGGAATTCTTTGGCAGCCCAGTGGTTAGGACTCGGTGCTTTCACTGCACCTGGTTGTCCTGGGTCTACCCATGGTCGGGGAACTAAGATCCTGCAAGCTGTGCAGCACGGCAAAAAAAAAAAAAAAAACACCACCAAACCAAACAAAAACAAAAACAAATAGTGATGGCTCCAAAAACTCCTGTGGTAAAACTATTTAAAACAATTAATAGACTATATTTTTTAGAGCGGTTTTAAGTTCACAACGAAATTGAGCAGAAAGTACAGAGAGTTCCCATATACCCCTGTCCCCCACCTAGCCTCCTCCACTTTTGACATCCTGCACCAGAGCTGTACATTTGTTACAAACAATGAACCTACACCAACAGATCATTATCATAATTTACATTATGGTTCATTTTGGTGGTGTATATTCTATGGGTTTTGACAAAAGTACAATGACATGTATTCACCATTATAATATAATACAGAATAGTTTCACTGTCTTGAAAACCCTCTGTGCTCTGCGTATCCATCCCTTGCTCCCACATAACTCCTGGAAACTAATGCTTTTCTTTTTTAATGTCTCCATAGTTTTGCCTTTTCCAGAATGTCATAGAGCTGGAATCATACAGTTTGTAGCCTTTTCAGATTGACTTCTTTTACTTAGTAATATGCATTTTTGTCTTTTCATGGCTTGTTAGCGCATTTCTTTTTAGTGCTGAATGATATTTCAGAGCCTGAATGTGCCACAGTTTATCTTATCTATTCACTTACTGAAGGACATCTTGGTTGCTTCCAAGTTTTGGCAATTATAAATAAAGTTGCTATAAATATCTGTGTGCAGGTTTTTGTGTAGACATAAATTTCCAATCCATTTGAGTTATTACCAAGGAGCATGATCATATGATAAGAGTATATTTAGTTTTGTAAGAAATTGCCAAGTGTCTTCCAAAGTGGCTGAACCATTTTGCATTCCTACCAGTGATGAATGAGAGTTCCTATTGCTCCACATCCTTGCTAGCATTTGGTGTTGTCAGTGTTTTTGGATTTAGGCCATTCTAATAGGTGTGTAGTGGTACCTCACTGCTGTTTTAATTTGCAGTCACCTAATGCGTAGTGTTGAATATCTTTTCAAATGTTTGTTTGCCATCTGTATACTTTGATTAGATTAAATTTAAGAACTGTTTATCAAAAGATTCCATTAACAGAGTAGAAAGGCTTACCACAGAGTAAGGGAAAATATTTGAAACACATGATAAAGGGCTTGTATTCAGAATATATGAAGAACTGCAAAACGAGAAAAAGACAGGCAAGCTAATGGAAAAACAGACAATGTGGACCTGACTAGGCACTTCAAGAGGCTACCCAAATGACTAACAAACATATGAAGAGATGCCCAATCTCATTAGTAATTGGGGAAATACAAATAAAAACCACAATGAGACATCACTAAACACCTACCAGAATGGCTAAAATGAAAAAAGATAATCCAAGTGTTGGCAAATATGTGGAGCAATGGGAACACACAACTGGTAGGAGCATAAATTGATACAACTACTTTGGAAAATGGTTTAGTATTATCTACTAATGTTGCTACATAGATATACCTATAATTCAGTAATTCTACTCCTAGGTATACACCAAATAGAAATGCATGTACATGAGCATTAAAGACAAGCATAAGAATGTTCATCATTATTCATGATGTCACCAAACCAGAGACAATCCAGATGTCCATCAGCAGAAAAATGGGTAAAGAAATTGTAGTATATTTATGTAATAGAATACTAAACAGCAATGGAAATTGCCAAACCAGAGTTATATACAACCACATAGAGAAATCTCACAAACTTAATGTTGAAAGTATTTCTCACTGTGTCATTCGAAAGTATGTTGCAGACATAGTGATACTTCACC